AAGATCACATTTATGAAATGAATGAATACAAGTAGACTCTGGAATATTAGATGGTCTTGATAAAAAACTATATTAAAAAAATTCAAACTTAAATTTATTAAACTTTCTTCAAATTGATGACTTCCTCTCTATTTCAGTTTTTAGATTCATATGACTCTAATCTACAGAAAAACTCTTGGCAAAGTCAAATTGCAACATTGAATTGACTGTTCTTCAGCTTTTAAAAATCAACCATATATTATCCTATAATGACTTAACCCCTCTTTCCACCACAGACCACCTCTGAACTCTYAAGGGAACTGTTAAATTCTGGTAGTGTCTTCAGTGCTCAACTCACAATGCTTACTGCTTCTGTGTTAAAATTTGTCAGACTCAAGTATTAAAGGAAAATGTCACAAAAAGAGGCTTTTTGTCTTATTTTTATGGCAATAGGAATTGCCAATATTTTCATCATCTTGAAACATCCCCATTTTTATGCACTCCAATTCTACATGAGCTCTTCAACCATTCCACTGTTGCTCTAATAAGCAAAATATTAATTTTCAATTAATTAATGGATGAGTAGATGATGCAGATTTCTGAACCACACCCACACTTTCTCCCATTTTAGGCAGCCCAGCTGTGCTTCACAAGAAAGTTGGATGAATTGAKCAGCTTGAGAAATTTATGTATGGAAGCTTTGCTTCTCCTTCCCCCATGTGGCAACCTACATGGCACAGATTTACAAGAAGATACACCCACATATGCACATATCCTTTTGTATTAGATCTCTTAAGGTGTAAATTCATATTGTTCTTGACAAAAGTGAATAATAACTAATTAAGCCATCGGGCAGATCATTCTGGCATTTGAGAAAGACAAAGGAGCATCCTCATGTGAAATCACACTGGAATATGCTTGGATGTYGAGGAGGACAGAGCTCCATCTGGGGAACAAAAGGAGTTCATAAGAAATTCAGACTGCAAGGAAATGAGCCTCGTGAAAAATGCTAGGAAARACTATTTCAGGATGAAAGATGGTATTTACATTGAACTATAAACTCAAATGTAAACTAACATCCTCAGAAATTACAGGAAGGGTGCRTATGTTTATGAACAGTGCTCCATTTCAGGGAAGCTCTATCTGATAATTCTGTCATGTACAGACCTGGCATAACTAAATATTAAATTCAGTCAATTCCAGAATGCTGGAGGGGAAAAGCCTTAAGAGCTAAAGCATAAAAAAAAAATAGTTTACTATTGTACATGATCTTCTGGTCTCCATTTAAGCTTCAGTATTGACCAGAGGTGATTGCATCCACAGACCTAAAGGAACTTTAAAAAACAAACTTCTTGCCAAGTCTTGTGCTATTAGTCACTTTTTTATCATTGTATTACATAAATTTAATTTAACACAGGGAGGTTAGGGACTCTGTAACTTACATCATCTTAGCTTTAACAAAGAGAATCAAGGACTTTTTTTCAAATGAACACAGAAAATCATGGTAAAAACATGYACTCTGTTGGGAATAACTGGCTTGGGAAGTATCCATCACCTTTATACTTTCCTTGTTGATATATGCATGACAATCTTGAGGCTGACGATTTTGTCAGATGAGATGCACGTAAGGCAAGGCTGCTGGCTGACTCATTTTGACTGGGATACTCTAACACGTTTTCCTGAGGAAAGGGACTCATAGTTGACAGATAAGCTGTATTAATGTMAAATATCCATTAATTCAGTAAACTAAGAGAAAACATACTCTTAGCACAGTTGCATTCTTAAATGCATCAGCAGATGGGAGAGAAAAGCGAAAGATCTTTCTCTCGCTGTTTTCTACACAAAGTCCATGTTTGCTCCAGAAGGAAAATCAGAATTATTCCTACCTTCATAGTGAGTGTCCTCTTCCTTTTCATCATTTACTTACCTGATCTTCCCTGCTTAATTTCTGTTCTTCAGCTGACATTTACAAGCATTATCTCTACAGCTTTTAACAACATACACGAACGCACAACCATGGCAAGAGCAGTGATTCAAAAAGAACGTGAAATCAACAGCGAGTGGAAATTAATGAAGCACTTTATCAATTTGTCCACTGAAGAGATTTTCTCAGTTCAAACCCCAAYGCATGAAATTCAAGTTTGACATTGCCACAGTTGGATTAAATTTTCCAGATGGTTGACTTGAAAAGAGGGATTTGATCTACACAGTCAGACAGACTGTTTGTAGTTAATTGAGCAAGTGCAAGAGATGAGAGCGCCTTATTCTCTCATGAATGTTTTACAAATCTAATACAAAGCAATAATTTTCAGAAATGCAAGGGTCCAAGATTTCCATAGAAATTTTCAGCAGGTTTCTTTCGAACAACTGATATGGAAAAAATCAAATTCTTAGAAAAAAATGCACAGAAACTCATGTGAAATATTTTTTTTTAAAGCATAAATGAGGGAAGAAAATGTTTCATATACATTTTTAMAATACTGTCATCAGTCCTTTAAAATACTTTTAAGTACTTGAAAGAAATGTACTCTGCTTTCAAACTGATAGTCCAAGGCCTAAACGAATCCTGTGTACTGTAGTGCACTGACTCCTGGCCAGTAAAAGATGTTTTCTTTGCTAAAGAACAGGYGTGAGGAGAAGGGCTCTGTCCTGTCTTCCCTTCTGGAAATGGGAGTYGTTGTGAGGACAATTTGACAGTAGAAAAGAAAAAATTGTGGACATGGACATAGAGAAACAAAATGTGCTTTAAATGAAAAACAGCACCAAATTTCTCCCCCATTGTTTTGAAAGAATGAGGGAGAGGAAGGTTAAGGGGATATTCCTCTTCACATTTACAGACAATTCATATTCCTAGTCCTTATTGAGAATCTTGTATTGTGAGTTGATAAATAACTGTGACTAGTTAGGTCAGCGTGCATGGCAGCAATCTYGGCAGCAGATCTCAACATGCTTAAAAGCTTCAGGAGGAACTTTATCTTCAGGAGGAACATTATCTCCGAGCAAATTCTTTACAAACCAGAATCGAAAAAGCACATACAGGTTTGGCCACAGYGCAAACTGCTTTGAAAAAGAATCCAACTGAAAACATTTCCTCCATGAAGTCAATGATAAATGATATGAAAGACATTTCCTGTTCTCTYGTACTTGCACAGAAACTCAATTACATGCCCTGGAAATTTCTCCCCGCAATATCGTGAAACATTGATAGGATGATTAGAAGAAGAAAATCACAAACTGCACATAAACACACGAGAAACACCCTCATGCAGAGACTATGGAGGCAAGGGGAGGGAGCACAGCCAGGTTTCACAAAGCACAATGAGCGAGACGTGGGAGTGACTGCTGGAAACTTTTCTATTGGCAAGAGAGGTTGATTCTCACCGTTCTGAACAAAATGGCTGAGCTAAGAGCATCTGACTGGTTATGCCCAAATACCCTCCTCCTCATCCTAGAGGTGCAGAGGTGGCAATGGGAGGAAAGGCCCAGAGCAGCATGGGAACGAAATAAAGAGTTGGTTAGTATTTAAAGCACATATGTAAGTACAAACAGTAGTACAAAGYGTTTAAATTCCTTTGCAATATTCTGAGCTACCTTGAGGTACAGCTTTCTTTGCTCCCTTGTAGGCTTTGTCAGCTAAAACAAAGGGGAAGTSCAATCAGAACCTCCCACCCCCTTTCTTCCCTGTTGCCCTTTCTTGCAAAGTGTTTGCAAGAATTTCCCTAAATGTCTAAATTTTATTTGTCTTCTACATGTTATCTTTTCATTTCATCTGGGAATGCTACGCCATATTAATTTGCAAGCACGTACTACAGTTACATTCTGGAAATGGATTCAGCTCTCTGTAGARTTGCAGTGTAGGAGCAACAGATATTCTAACATTTGCACCAAATAAGGATTAGGAAATCCATTTAATATTAATTATTAACAATTTCATTCTCCTGAAAAATGGTAAAACCAACCTTTTCCAAAAACACTGCAGAAAATTCAATGTACCGTGGAGGAAGGTATTAAATTGAGATGCAAAGGGAAGTTGCCTTGAAAATGAGATTTTTTCTGGTTTTTCTTTGTATATACTCCTTTTCATTTTCTGATGTAGATATGAAAGGAGGTTTTTCAAGATCTATTTTTGCAGGGTGAATATGTAATTGGCCTTTGTCATTTTCCTCTYGTACCTTACTCATTATTTCTGTGCATCACTAGGTTGGCATTCAAAGGTCCAGAGTGAGATGCTTTCCTTCCTGCAGATCTCACCCATTTCTACATGAGTCAGAGAGCAAAGAGAAGCATTCCTTTACTTCATCAAGGCAGTGATTAATGATGTCTAATATTTTAATTAAACCAGAGTGGATGAGATTACAACATGGGATATGTAATTATGCTGRCATTTTCTGCACTACCCAAGGGACRGTTAATCTCTGATAGTTATCAAGCACATGGCTGTGCTTTGTAAATGACACAGGAGGCTCCTCACTGCTTTGGAGATGGTAAATTGATTTTCCTTCAGTTCACGGCCCATTGAGTTTGTGAGGGAGCAGTCTGTGCTCATTTGGCATCGAGGCTGGGATTTCCTCATGGGAAATGAAGGGAACTGCTCATATGCAATCCATAGATCAGAAAGCTGATCCTGGAGCATATTTCCTGCTACTGACGACAAGAAACAGTCCTGGACACTCCACACACTCAAGCAGTAAACCTGAGCTACTAAAATCTGAATATGTCGTACAGGACTTGAGCCTCACATTTTAAGAGAGTGAAGTTTTTTGTTGCCTTTCAGTGTACCTCCTCCTCTCCAGCCACCTAACAACACCTTGGTACCATTCATTCACCGTTCATTCACATTTCAGGAGTTTTACACAAAGCCAACACAACAGTAGCATCCATTTCTGGTTTATAACTGCATTCTGGAATGTKGCTTTTGTTCCAAAAAGCAAGCACATCAGCAAAAATTACATATGACTCAAAACAATCAGCCCTTATGGTAAAAATTACTTTCAAAACAAAAAAAAAGAGAGACACGTTACCTGGTCAGGGGAGGGCTTGTGGTTGGTTTGGTTGGAATGGGATGAGGATTTGAGGTGGTCATCCTCATAGTTGTCAGCCATCAGCTTCATACGGTTCTGAGTCTATTAAAAAAAAAAAACCCATTAAAAAAGAATCTCAGTCTACCTTCTAATGTTAACAAAGCAACTAAAGGGAACAGGGCATTTATGCTATCCTGCATATCCAAAATCCATACATGGAAAAACAGTAAGACACATGCCTAAACCATCAGTTGGTTTTACTGTAGAGAATTGGTATAAACTGTGGAGAAACATTCCAACCTGTTGACTTTAAGGCCAGATCAGCAATTAAGTGGGTCTTCTGACTTGCCCCTACTAAAACTTGTGCTGTACAAGAAATTAATTTCTTCTTCTAGATTCTCAGGATTAAGGTTCAGACATCGACTTGGAGAATAWTTCAATGAAAACATGAGTTAGGTGTCCCTAAGTCAATTAAAAAAACCCTAACAAACTCCTCTGAAAGCAGTCAGTTAAAAAAAACCCCAAAAGTAAACAAATTGAAAATAGATTTTTACTTAAGAAGTCCATCCAGCTTCAATATGTCAATCAGTTTTCAACTGATATATCAAAGAACRGAAAAATTCTGAGACTGATCAGAAAAATGTGAATCATATAAAAGCCATCCTGTGAGGAAATTAAAAAGTTATTAAATAAATCTTGGGGAAGAAAAAGTGACATAATGAAGGCTTAGAAAATTAAAACCTGAACACAGTCAAGTAATGAATTAACAAAATATGAAACAARTTTCTTCACTTTTCTTCAACTCCTTAGGAAACTTCAAGTTCCAAAGGAGATATAATTTTTAAAAACACACATTAGAAAATAAATTGTGTAAGAATAAATGGAATACYTTCCTTTAACAGTACCATTCTAAATAAGCAATTGCAACAAACATTAAAATATACTACTTGGCTGTGTCTGCAAAGTAGAGTGTTAATGAGATAAAAAGCCCTTTACATACCACCCTGAAGAGAGGTCCCCGGGCACCTACAAATACTCACACAAATAAGGAAAGAAATGCACCTGGAAAAATGTCCCATCACCCCAGCAGGGCTTAAAAGGCCATTCAGGCAGCAATGATACTCTGTGGGTAGGCTAGAGGGGTCTTTGAGAGAGCAGGRTGAGGGTGTTGCAAAGCCAAGCACTGCCTCCCTTCATGTTATCTGGGTGCTGATGTCTTTGGGAACTCACCCATGGAGTGGCCCCAAAACTGAGTGATGATATTTCTCCTCCCAGTTCAGAAGGCACAAAAAGCCCTGTTTTGAGCTTTGTGAAATCTTTGTATTCTAAGGAAATCAAAAGACTAACCAGATGTACATTAGATATGATACAGACAAATTATCTACAGCTAGACATATGAAATCATCAGATATGCACTCAAATGTCTTAAATGAAAGCTCAAAGCTCTCTGTAGCCTGCTGTTGATTCAATACCTTCATAACTCTACGGATCTTCACTGAAAAGTTTAACAAGCATCTTGAAGCTAGAGAATGCAAATTTTACTTGTCTCTATTCAGATCACGAGAGAAGGTCCAGGGTTGAATCTGGATTTATTTTGGATTAATTTAACAAAAGCTAATAGTAAATTGAGCTTAAGCAATAAGCAATCTAATCATGCAGAAGTTTTATATTGTTTGCTCTGCTTTGTCAAACAAGTTTTGAATTCCAAGTCTGACTCATCATTCATAAATCACTACTTAAAACACTCTACATTAATCCTTAAACAACCAGTTTATTGTAAAGGCACTTCCTTAATATTTATTATTTTATTATATTTAAGGTTGTCTGTTCAACAGTTTCTTCTTTGTAACGAGAACAATAGATTTGAAACCATTTCACATTTCCTTGGAAATTTTTTGTTTTGATAATAAATTATTACATGACTTTCAGTGCGTGTGTGGAAAAAATCTACTGAAACCCAGATGTTTAGCAGAATGCTAGTACAACATGTTAACTTTCCTGAGAGAAAAAGTGAAGAGATAGAGGCAGCATGTTTTATGGTATTACATGAAAAAAACCCCAAACAAAGTATCAGCTGGTACAGGTAGAGAAGAATATAAACATTGCAGAGAAACACAGAATGGATCAGCTTGGAAGCRASCACAGTGGCTCATCTYGTCCCTGCTCCCTGCTYCAGCAGGGTCATCCCAGAGCACTTGGCACAGGATTGCACCCAGATGGTTCTTGGATATCTCCAGAAAGGGAGATTCCCCAACCTCTCTGGACAATCTGTTCCAGTKCTCAGYCATGTGCCAAGTAAAGAAGTTCTTCCTCATCTTTAGGTGGAACTTACTGTGCATCAGTCTCTGCCTGTTGCCTCYTGTCCTATTGCWCAGCTCCACCAGGAAGAGCCTGGTCCATCCTCTGACACCCTTCCTGTAGACACTACAGACATKGATAAGGTCCCTTCTCAGYTGTCTCTTCTCGAGGCYRAACAGGCCCARTTCMCTCAGCCTTTCCTTATSAGAGRGATGCTCCMGTCCCTYCATCATCTTTGTCACCCTSYRCTGGACCCACTCCAGGAGCTCCCTGTCACTCTTGTCTTGAGGWGCMCAGAACTGGACACAGCASCCCAGGTGCAGGAAGGGCAGGTTCACCCCCCATGACCTGCTGGCAGTGCTCCTCCTAATGYACCCCAGGATTCCATTGGCCTTCTTGTCCCCCAGGGCACACTGCTGGCTCAYGGACAGCTTGCTGTCCAGCAGGACCCACAGATCCTTCTCCTCAGAGCTGCTTTCAGCAGGATGGTTCCACCCCTTATCTCTGCTGAGCCTGGCTATGCCCTGTCCCCTTCAAATCTAGTTCAAAGGCTTCTCAATGAGCCCAGCTGAGTCCTGAGCTAAGACCCCTTTTCCCCTCTGACACAGGTGGACCCCATTTGTTGCCAGCAAGCTCAGTGTTGTATAAACTGACTCACAACAGAAAACCACAAAATGCTGCTGTTTACACCAGTCTTGAAGCCAGRTGTTCATCTGCATGATTTTCCTGTTTCTTGCTCCATCATTCCCTACAACTGGCAGGACAGCAGAGAACACAACTTGTGCTCCASATCCCTTGACCTGTTTTCCCAAGGCCCTGAGGTTCCTCTTGATCATCCTTATCCTTTTTACTGGGACTTTGTTGCTGCCCACTCAGAAAGCTGTAAGTGGGTAACAATCAGTGGGCTGTACCAGGCTGGGGAGTTTCTTGGTGATGTCCCTTCCCAGGCCTCAGAGAGGCCACACACCTCCCTCTGGATTTGGTCTCGTCAGCAAAATGCACAGTGTCACTCAGAGAGAATTCTGAAGTCAAATTGAAGAKGTTGCACACTTCTGTCACTTAAATACAAGCAGAACGAGCTACTATTAATATTTGGCAGGAGGTAGTGAGAAGAGGCTGATGGAATTGGGCAGGTTTAGCCTGAAAAAGAGGGGGCTTTTTTTAATTACTTGATRAGAGGAAATAGAGAAGATGAAGCCACACTCTTCCTGGAGGGGATAGAACAGGAGATGACAGATATAAAATGGAACACAGAAAATTCTGATTAGAGATCCGGAAAACTCTTTTCCTAACAAGATGCATCAAATGCCAGAACAGGCTGCCAAGACACTGTGGCATCTCCATCCTTGAAGACACTAAAAATGCAACTGGACAAGGCCTTGAACAAGCTGCCCTAATTAGCGATGCTCTCAGCAGGTGGCTGGACACAGAGGTCTACTCCAACCTAAAATAYGCTGCAATTCTTATTATTTGGAATTTTCATCAGATCATTTTAGAGTTCCAAAGTTAGACTTTTCAGAAGAAGAGGAGGATAAGTTCCAAAATTCCTCCTACTTGACAAATATGATTTAGTTGCTCAGCTTGATTACAGTCCTTTGAACATTTAAACCCAGAACAATCTCTGCAGTGTCCTGATGATGAMATGCCTGTGGGATCAGCTCACCTGGAAGGACATTTTCTATGTTTCCCCCTCAATTCAGCCTGACCTTCCACTGCTGCCACTGTTAACCTAAGACTGCATGCTTGTRACAGGTCTTGGCAAGAAAACGCCAAAATCAGTATTGTGATTCCACAGAAACTAATTTATGCATATACCATTGGAATTAGGTAAAAATCAAGAGACGGAAGAAAAGCAGATTATTTCCTGATGGATACCACTAAGAATTATTTTCCCACATTTAAATTCCAAGCAGTGTTGAAAATAAAATGCACAATATGATATTATTTTCATAATTCTTTTTATAGCAAACATAGAAATATAAAGCTTCTGCTCAGGACTGGACAACTAACGACAAACTTTTACTTGGAAATTTTTAAATAACTGTAAATACATGAACTGAGTTTCTCTCCTATTGCTCCTCTACAGAAAGAAAGAAAATGTTTAAAARGATGGAAATTTCTAGAGCAAATGGCTGTTGTAATGATTTAAAAACAAACGGTTTATTTTTCTGTGGGGAACCACTCCAACATCCTGCAGTCCTGAGCTGGTTTGTCATGGTGCTATTATACAATCCTCTCCCACCTTAYGAGGTTATGGCTCAGATCCTAGGGCAAACATTTCTACATCATTGTAAAAAGTATGAACAACTAAGTGGTTTAACCAYGGGGTCCTGTGAGAAAATAAATGAGCAGTGCAGACAAATCAGTTTTGTCAGGAGTGCTTTTGTCTAAAACCTGCAGAGCTGTAGGCAGAACTAGCAATGACAGGAACCGGATGTCAAATTCAAATTTTGCTTATAAAAATACCATGTGCCCTTACAGGTACCTTCTTCATGCAAGTGCAGAAAAAAAATGCTGGAATGAAGAAAACTGGATAAAACTCCACAACTCAATAGGTTTCCTGATTTTTGTGCAGAAGATGCCTTCATTTTACTTTTTTTTGGGCATATTTCATAAAATTACTCGTGGCCCTCCAATTATGATGACCTTCCCCAAAGCCCCCACACCTTGTCAAAGCCATTAACAATGCTCTTCTTTTCTCCCAATAGTCATCATGCAAAAGAACAGTTCCAAACTCTTCAAACTGGTGTCAATTCTCAGAATTACTCCAGAGTCATCACACACTCTCCAGCTCCTAATTGAAA